AAGACTTGGGGGAAAAAAACTTACACTAAGTGAAGTAAATCAGACCTAGAAAGACAAATTTTGCAAATTCTCCTCATATATAGAAGCTAGAATTAGCTTATAAACTAATCAGAAAATACATTAGGTTGTATGCAATATATTCAAATAATATAACTACTTAGAAAGACAAAGTAAAAGTTCCACAAAATCAACACCAGGAAACAGGTACTTGAAAGTGGTGAGGTAAGATCATGGGGAGAGGAGCAGAAAAAAAAGAAGTGAGCAGTAGAATGCAGTCAACAATTCAATGTGCATTCTACAAAGTTAAGAAAAGTGGGGGAAGGGTCATTTGGGAGGGATGAGTGAGAATGTTGAAAGGTGTGACATTGATCAATATGCATTATATTCATAAATTGCTTTATTCAATGGTAACTTCCTTGTACAACTACTTATAGATATTTTTTTTAATTACTCTGAGTGCAATATATTAGTTTCACTATCCAGAAATCATTTAAAGTCCTAGATCAAAAGATACTGATTCCTGGCAATTTTGTAAAGGTTTAATAACATTAATTAATGTGTTCTTCAAACTAAGAGTTACATTATCTGTGGTGCTAAACTCAGGGTCTCTTGCATACTAGGCAGTCACTCTATCCATGACCCATCTCCCAGTTATATGAAAAGTTTTAATAATTATACCTACCCACAATATAAATGTTTCCTTTTTCTTTAAGAAGCTTTATTAAATTATGTCTCTCATAAATGAGGTCTTAAATGTGAATCTGTATGATATTAAAAGCAATGGTATTTTCTCAACCAAAGACTAATTGTTTATTCTTAAGAGTGTTTAAAAACAAATATATTCATTACCTATCTAATGTAACTGTAACTCTCCTGCTCATCACCTTTTCAATAAAGATTATTATTTTTTTAAAAAAGGAAGGAAACATTTGCTAACCATTTCCTAGGATTTAGGTGGGAAAATAGTGAAAAAGGGGAAAAAACCTGTAAGACTGTGTAACACAAAGTCTTCTAATAATGATTAAACATGCATTAGCCTTCCTATGACTGTATGCCAGAGTAGATTCTTATGACGTTTCCATGGGTCAGAATGGTCAAAATGTCTAATCAGGAAAAAGTAAATTAAATGCTTCTTAGACATGTTATGGCATGGAGTTTCCCAAACGGGCCACATTCACGGAAAAAATAAACACAAGAAAAAGAGCAAGTTTCCTTTAGAATTTCAAAGTACAATAAGTAGGCTGTCAGACATCTTAGTAAAAAGGGAGAAGTGGATGCTCAATTCACTTTTTTTGCTGGCCCTGGAGCTTGAACTCTGGGCCTGGGCGCTGTCCTTCAGCATTTCAGTTCAAGGCTAGCACTCTACCACTTGAGCCACAGTGCCACTTCCAGATTTTTCTGTCTATGTGGTGCTGAGGAATCAAACCCAGGGCCTCATGTATACAAGACAAGTGCTCTACCACTGAGCCACCTTCTGTGCCCCTCAACACAGACTTTTGAGAGAAAAGATAACCATCATCTAACTTTATTTCCTGTCCTTGAGGGGGAGGCACATCTTCCTAACACACCCACTTCCTGTTGTCATCTTCATCTCACCTTTATCTTTTCCCTGTGAACTTCACCTTTCCTTACAGTAAGAAGTTAAGATTCACAGACTGCAGAAGCTCTAGAAATGAGCTGTTCTCAAGGAGCAGTGATTGTACTGCTCTTAATGCTTGGTGAGGAAAATTGCATATCAGCTTTGATTCTTCCACCATTAATTTTTGACAAAAATCTTTAACCAGTTTGTTCTAAGAGGCAGACCCCAGATCATACCAAGGAGACCCAGATAACTCACACTGGATTCTCATATTTTTTGTGTTTCAGGGGGAAGCCATGGAGACTCGGTGACCCAGACACAAGGCCATGTGACCCTCTCTGAAGGGGCTTCCCTGACTGTGAACTGTTCCTATGAAGCAACATATTACCCAACTCTCTTCTGGTACATCCAGTATCCTGGAGAAGGTCCCCAGCTCCTCTTTAAAGTCGCCAAGGCCAATGACAAGGGAAACCACAAAGGATTTGAAGCCATATATGACAGAGAAAGCACCTCCTTCCACTTGAAGAAAGCTGCAGTCCTAGAGTCAGACTCGGCTGTGTACTACTGTGCTCTGAGAGACACAGTGGCAGAAACCACAGAGGAAGCTGAGCACAAACTGAGGGACAACAGGGGCTTGGCTGCTGAGCTTCTGCTTCTCAGCTGGCTCTCTTGAGGGAAGAACCAGAAAACCCAGCACTTTTGTGGTATAACAACCACCCAAAGTAACGCTAGGAACACAATAGGAAGACTTGAAGTAAATGTACTTCACTCAAGTGCTTTTACAATGGGAGTGTAACAGCATGAGCTCTAGTTCCCCAACAAGGCCTAACGTTTGTGACATTAAAAGTACAAAACTTCAAGATTAATGAAGTGGTCCTTATATTCACCTTACCTAGAGTTTGATCCTCTTAACCATGAAACAGTTCATGCAAAGAAATTTGTTTTGAGAGACAGAGACCAGTTGTAACATATTGTGGATGAAATGCTTACTGTACAGTCCCTGATAAGTTAATGATGAAAAATGTCACATATTCCTGCAACAAATTTTATTTTGAAATAGAAAAGAATGCAAAGGTTTACAAACAAGACCACACTAAAGCTACCTGCACAACTATGTTTATTACAGCATTATTTACCATAGCTAAGATATTGAACCAACCCAGATGCCCCTCAGTAGGTGAATGGATTAAGAAAATGTGGTATATATACACAATGAAATTCTATGCCTCCATCAGAAAGAATGACACTGCCCCATTTGTTAGGAAATGGAAAAACTTGGAAAAAATTATATTAAGTGAAGTAAGCCAGGCCCAAAGAAACATAGGTTCCATGGTTTCCCTTATTTGCAATATCTAGTATATGTATGAGTCAAGCGGAAAAGGTCAGATAATGTGATGTTAGGAAAATGAACCCTCAGATATGTATTTTAATGCTTTTTTATTTCATGCATTTGTTTCTAACACATTTATAAGATTATCTCTTTGTTGCTTTGTATGTCCCTCCCCCACAGTATAACCCCTGCTTTCACTATATTTGATGTCAGTATAACTTGTGGTGGAGATGGGGAAAAACAAGTCGTTTAAGGATACAGGTGGCCCTGTTGCAACAATGAGAAGTACAAGGTCATGTCCAAACGAGCTTTACAACGTTGGTGGGGGGGGGGGGGGGGGAAGGGGGAGGAATGGGTGGCGGGGGGCTAGTGGATGTGAAGGGTAAACAAAGGAGGAGGCTGCAATGCTTGATAAGAAATGTATGCATTATCCTGCCCATGTAATTGTAACCCATCTATACAGTATGTTCACAAAAAAAAAATTAAATTAAATTAAAAAAAAAGAATGACAAATTTACAAACCAATGTACACTTAAACATGGATGAACTCTGAATTAACAGAAATAAGTGAAAGATATACCTAAAAAGTATCAGATGATGCAGGACTTTATATGCACTGGTCAGGTAAGTGACTTACAAAGACACCAGTTTCTGTCTACCTCCATTTCTTTTTTTTATTGACACATCAGAAGACTTTCATTACTAAATACATCATGTATCATGTTGTTAGAGGTGTACAAAAAGCATGATTGAAGAGCCACTAAAAAAATAGTCCAAGAAATGTGACATTCTTTGTAATAATAAAACATATCCATGAAAAATATAAAATGCTGCATATGTATATATACACAATGTATTTATAATATACATGAAAACAGTAAATAGGAAATTCAAACTCTTTTTTTTTTTAATCGGTCGTGGGGCTTGAACTCTGGCCTGGGCGATGTCCTTCAGCTCTTCAGCTCAAGGCGAGTGCTCTACCACTTGAGCTACAGCACCACTTCCAGTTTTCTGGTGGTTTATTGGAGATAGGAGTATCATGGTCTCTCTTGCCCAGGCTGGCTTTGAATTGAGATCCTCAGATCTCAGCCTCCTGAGTAGCTAGGATTACAGGCTTGAGCCACCAGCACCCGGTGAAATTCAAACTCTTAATCTGATCTTTCACTCATTGTCTGACATTCTACCACCTATGCCATGCTTCCAGACCCTCTAATCTGGATTTTTATTTGCCTAGGTTGGAGGGAAATATTGGTGATTTTTTATGGATACAGAGTTTCTTTCTGTGATGATGAGAATGTTTACATCTTGATTTGGGTGATGGTGTCAGGAATCAGAAATACACATCTACAAAATACACAGTCACAATTTAATAGTAGTCATAAATCTTCAACCAGCAAGACAATCTTTCCAGGAAGAACAATGAAAGAAGGTGATTTCATCTCCTGGAATCAAAGGAAAGAAGTTTTCTAATTTTGCCAATCATTTCACTAGCTGCAGAGGAAGCTGTGAATTTCTCTGATCTCTTCTTTTCAAATTCCTTTCTTTGGGATGTCAATTTCTTGGATGCAGATGTCATGGCACATTTATTTCATCCTCCTTTAGGAACAAAGTCTTCTTGTCCACAGTTACATCTTGTACTTAAAGCACAGAGGCACTACTCTTTTCAGAGTCCCTTCCTCAGCCATGGGAAATACATCCACCATCATCTATCACCACCATGGCTGTACTGGGCCATCCAAACTCAGCCTGAAGCAGCAAATCTGAATCAAGATATTTATGAACTAAGACCAGATATTTGATGTACTTATCATAAACTGGCTTCTCCCTGAAGTAACATATATTTCAATATATCTCAATATTCACTAGAGTTCACCTTGAACTCTAGGACTAAAATACCATCACAGTTTGGGGAATAAAGCGTGTTGTGTGAACTTGAGCATACATCCTGTAACCTACACACAGTAAGGGGCAACTACTGGCATGCATAACCTGTGGTTTCTTATCTGGCCTCCAGTGGGCAGTGCTGCCTACCACAGAAAACTTGTATCTGTTAGAGAGCATCTGTTTAGTTTTTCCTTCATGCAGCTTACAGATAAGAATAAGAGGGTGTAAAAAGCCTCCAGGGTGATTGCAGCAGTCCTGCTGAACTTTCTACACACCTCCCTTTTCCAAGTTCTTGCTTTCTATAGCCACTTGCAACATCTCGACGGCTCAGCCATGCTTCTTGTGCTCCTTTCAGCACTAGGGATGCATTTATTCCTGAGTGAGTACTTTTCCTGTTGTATTCCACCCTCAGGGTCTAAGTAGGTATGCTTAAGTTCCATAGTCAAGTTTGTGCTGATTTAAAGACCTGTTTGATTTTCCAGGACATGCTACAGCCCAGTTGGTGACCCAGCCTGATGTCCACATCACTGTCTCAGAAGGAAATTCTCTGGAGCTGAGGTGCAACTATTCCTATGGTGCTTCAGTTTTTCTCTTCTGGTACGTCCAGTATCCCAGCCAGGGCCTCCAGCTTCTTCTCAAGTATAGTTCAGGAGACCCCCTGGTTCAAGGCCTCAAAGGCTTTGAGGCTGAATTTAAGAGGAGCGACTCTTCTTTCCACTTGAGGAAACACTCTGTGCATGTGAGTGACTCGGCTGCATACTTCTGTGCCTTGAGTGTCACAGTGCCTGGGGCTACAGTAGCAGCTGAACAAAAACCAGCCACAGAGAGGACATTCCACAAGCCCAAGGTCTCTCTGTGGTGTTTTGAACACTTGCTTTGTAAAGGGCAATGAGGAAAGGAGGCATGAGCAGAAACCACTCCCTTTTACAGGATTCTGAAATTCTTGCTGCAATATCCCATGTCTGGTGAGCTTCTTAGACAATTTAACTTGCACACATTCCATACACCATAGTCTACGATGAAAAACACTCAATGTAAATTGTGTAGTCATAATGCTCTGCTACACTGATTCTTGCTGGGTGAAGATACTCCACAACTTATAGGTTATTGTTCTTGCAAGGTTTCAAATTGTTATAAACAATGATTATTAAAATATGAGAAGCCTTGGTAGGCAACACTAAAACATTCACTAATTTGTTATTTATTATCAAATTTGTTATTTAATATCATTATATATCACACAGTCCATATATTTGTAAGTCATTATACATACATCCATATATATGTATATTTCTAGTCATCTGAATGTTGGGAAGATAATTAGACATCACTTTGGTAGAATATCAAAGGTAAGAGAATGCTTTTATTTGGGAAACAGACTAGAACATGAATTTAAAAAGTAAAATGTTAGAAGTTGAAGATTTTTTTCATGTATAGTTATGACTCCAAATTGCTTTTGTGATTGATTTCATATAATGGAATACTAAAAATAGATCTTGTGTTAGTTTTCTAATGGTGCCATAGTAAACTATGACTGGATGACTTAAACTTAGCAGAATTATACTTTCTCATTACTAAGGAGCCTGGAAACCATGGTCAAGGAGTCAACAGGATTCTCCTGAAACCTCACTTTGGCTTGCAGATGGCTGCATTTTCGATCAGTTCCACTCATTCTTTCTGAGGATATACATGATTATGTCCATATAAGACTAGATGTATTTAGTAAGAGCCCATTAATTGCCTTTTTATGCCCTATATTCAAATACAGTCATATTCTCAGATTCTCAGTGTCAGTGCTACAGCATATAAATTTTGGGTGGGTGTATGCAGTCTCCATCAGCCCTCCAAGTAAATAAATGCTATTTTCATAAAGACCCTGGAAGTCTTCATCAGCCGACATGCTGTAGGTTTCCAGGGTATACAAGGCTCTTTTTTTGTAATTCTAATGATGGATTTTTCACATTTTCCCTCACAAGGCTCTTAAGGGGGATGAGAGCCATGTTATCACAAGTAATTCCTAAATATTCCAAACTGTAGAGCAAAGAATAAAAAATTTTTAATTTGTTTTAATACTTGTATTCTTTCTCCTTAGCTATACCAGAGTATGAAATGGTCTCATGTTTAGTTTTATCCTTTTGTAAAGACAAATCTTCATTCATTTTTGGCATTTCATCTCTGCACCTTTTTCCTTTCTCAATTTTCTTTTCTATGTGAAGGTTATTTACTTGCCTTGGTACCCCTTCTACTCATCTCTGAGTTCTCCTGTGCATGAGCTAATTCAACTAGCATGCTATTCTCCTTTTGCCTACCTCCTTTCTACACTCCTGGCTCTTACTAAAGCTAGGACTTCTCTTTGAAGGCTGCAATGTGCTTGATGTTGAGGGAGGGGTTGAAGAAGCAGGCTCAGCTTTAAATATATTCGACAAACTTCTTGACTGTAGTGTAGTATATGCAGAGAAAGATTCAAACTGTGACCAACATACACTTTGACAAAAATGAATAATAAGAGGCTGGAATATAGGATATGTAAGATGAGGGAAGATGACTGAAGAGGGTGAGCAAATGCACTCATAATATTCAGTGTATATCTGTGAAGAGGAAACTAGGAGTGACTTTTTGAGGATCCCAGAGGATTCAATAGTTGAGAGGTGAGACAATATGGTGAAGCTCACACACACACACACACACACACACACACACACACACGTGTGTAAATCAGTAATTTTCATGTTAGTTCATCCGTTCTGTCATTCATTATGAAACCTCAGAATGTTGCTGAATCTCTATTCACTGGACCCCATAAGTTTTAAATGAATTCCAAAAATGATTCTGAATGGAAATAATGAAAGTGGGATTGTGCTGGGATTGTAAGCAGGGAAGTTCAAAAGAACGTGTCTTAATTACATTTTTTTAATTTTTTATGTTCTAGAACTATATTATGCAAAGTTCACTGACCTGGATATTCTCCAATAGCATCAGTACCCAAGCTTTCACATATCTTCTCTAAGACTGGAAGGAACAAAATAAATAAAAGAAGAAAATGAGGTATAAAAATAGAAAAGTAACAGGTAGAGGGCTGTACTGAACATGTACAACAATGTGAGGCCTGGGCAGAGTGACTGTGTGGCCTGCAGACAGTAGGAGAAAGGGCTGGACAGAAAAGAGGAGAGGAAAGAAGGAAATCAGAACAGCTTATGTCTGTCCTATTTTCTCTTAATCAACCAAACTAATGTTGAAACAATTTATGCACAGTCAGTGTCCTGGTAATTTTACACAACTGTGTTTATATTAAGGCACATTGCATGTTATCAAAACTGTCCTTTTTCAGGATTTTCATGCGAATTATTTCTCAACTTCTCTGGCTAGCTTGTATTAAAGAAATGGGATTGCTATTTCTGTAACTCCTCAAGGCCCTACTCAACACAGTAGAGCCAGAGGTCCTTCCCTGAGGCATCAACCTCCAGCACACAGCCTTCCCCACAAGCTTCTCTCTAGGTGGACTCTGTCAAGATAAAACCAATCCTTTCCTCCTCACACTTTGGAAGCTCTGACTGGGACCCTTACACTGACCTCACAGCAGGGGCTGCTGTGCATCTTCAGGCAATGAGGCTGGTTTCCTGTTAGATGAAGGGCAGAGCTCAGAGTTGACTGGCTCTGGTGAGTCAGGTGGGACCGGTTGCCTGTGGGAAGAGTATGTGTGGGCTGACGACTTAGCTGCCTCCAAAGCTGTGGAAATCACCCCAGCAAACATTCCAGGAGCCATGGGGAGGAGGCTGGGGGCTGCTCTGGGACTTCTGTGGGTGCAGATTTGCTGTGAGTTGGGGCCATCACAAGCAGAGTCAGGGAGCTCCAGAGCTGACAGGGAGGAATGGGGGACAGCTGCCACAAAGTTCCTGTGCGTCCTCCTCATCCTGGGTATTTCCTGGGGTGTTCTCAAATGGGGAAGCGGCCTTGGTGATTTCCCTGTGACACATCTGTGCCTGCTGTTCTCTTTCCACCAGGGTTGAGAGGGCTGCAGGTGGAGCAGAGCCCTTCAGTCCAGAGGCTCCAGGATGGAGCCAGCTCGACCCTGAGGTGCAATTTCTCTACCACGGTGTACAATGTGCAGTGGTTCCGACAGAATCCTGGCGGCGGCCTCCTCAGGCTGTTCTTCATGACTCCAGGGACAAAGCAGAAGGGAAGGCTGCAGTCAACACTGGATTCCAAGGAACGCTACAGCAGCCTGCTCATCTCTGCCTCCCAGCTGGAAGATTCGGGCACCTACCTTTGTGCAGCAGAGGCACAGTGCTCCCAGACACCCTGCAGCCTGGCCCCAAAGTGTAGCTGGGCTGCAGCCCCAGCCTCTGCCTCAGGGAGGGTGCACAGCAGCATTCCCCAGCTGTGGGTTCCTGATTCACCTCGAGTCGCTGTCAGCTCTTCTGATCTCAGGACTGTCATTCATTTGATTTGTTCCATTTACCATCCGGGAAATATTTTATAAGAAAAATCCCTCGTGGAACCAGTGACTGAAAGTAATGGGAAAACAGGTCTCCTGACAGACTTCATCAATTACACAGGAATTACTGTCATGGAACACTTTTTAAAAACAGATGATTATCCAGGACCTAGTTGGCACATACCTATAATCTTTCTACTCAAGAGGCTGAAATCTGAGCACCACCAATTTAGCCTGCGGAGATTAGAAAGTTCATGAGACTCGTCTCCAACTAACCACCAAAGAGCCAGAAATGAAGCTCTAGTTCAAGTGTTACAGGGATAACCTTAATTAAAAAAAAAACTCAAGGGACTGCATGAAGGCCCTGACTTCAAGCCCTAGTACCAGCACTGAGTATGAGGGTGGGGGAGAAGGGTTCTTTTTGCCAGTCATGTGACATGAACTTGGAGCCTGGGTGTTGTCTCTCAGCTTTTCCACTCTAGGGTAGCACTCTACCACTTTGAGCCACAGCACCACTTCCAGTTTTCTAGTGATTATTTGGAGATAATTATCTCATAGATTCTCCTTCCCCAGGCTGGCATTGAATCACTATCCTCAGATCTCAGTCTCCTGAGTAGCTAGGATTATAGGTATGAGCTACTGCATCCATCAATATATATGTAATATACAATACATATACATCACATATAGTATCTTTGATCTAGTATTTCAGCTCATTATCGGTATATTTTTAATATTACCCAGAAATGAAAACATTATACCACATCATCCACACTTTTTTTTTTTTTGGTCCAGTTGTGGGGCCTGAACTCTGGGCCTGGGCGCTGTCCCTCAGCTCTTCAGCTCAAGGCCAGTGCTCTACCACTTGAGCCACAGCACCACTTTTTCATTTTTGCTTATGTGGTGCTGAGGAATCGAACCCAGGCCCTCATGCATGCCAGGCAAGCGCTCTACCACTGAGCCATCTTCCCAGCTCATCCACACTTTTTATTCAGATTTTTTCAGACATTGACCCATAACAGATGTATTGATATATACAATGTATATACACTGGTACACACACTTGTGTGTTTATATACAGATATATATACATACATACAGATATGCTATCATTAAGTATTAAGACTTCAGGTGATTACATACATGACTTATGCACTGACAATATTTCACCACTTTGCACAAGAAGATACTGAGGAAGGCAAAGTGAAAGTATCTTCCCTAAGAAGTTATTGTTCTATCTAGGAGGGCTGGATTTGTGAAACCAGAGCTGGACACTGAGTCAGGCTTGTAGAACGTTCCAGAATATAAATGATACTTTTTGGTAACTTTCTATAATGTGATTTTATATATATATATATATTTATATATATGCACACACACATATATAATATCTATTTTGTCCTTTTCTTTTTTTCAAGCACCATCAACACCCTATTATGATTTTTTCAGATTTTTTA